ACCAAAAATGAATTATTTCATTATTAAACTTAAATTAAATTATAATAAAAAAATTTAAAGAAATTACATAAAAAATGAGAACTTTTAAATTGTTGATTTGATATTGAAATTGATATATATTTTTTTCAAATTTTTACGATATTTTCAAAATTTATATTTTATTCAAAAATAAAATCATTATTGCTTTCTTAAAAACACGTAATTTATACTATATTATAAAACATTTGATAAAAACTCTTAAAAACTACTTTTTATGCGTAAAATACTGTTTTTTATTGCATATTATTTAAAACTCAATATTACAAGTAGATTGTGTGTAATTACAACTTATTAAAGCTCCATATATGAATTCGTGTAAATAACTGCAAATAAACATAGTCAAATACCAGATAAACATCTAATTTTAAATGTAAAAAATCTAAAATATAATTAGGATATCATTGAGTTATAACAAAATACTTAATTATTATCTTTATAAAATGTTATATTATTAAACCAAAAATAAATTATTTCGTTATTAAACTTAAATTAAATTATAATAAAAAAATGAGAACTTTTAAATATTGATTTGATATTAACATTGATATATATTTTTTCATATTTATATTTTATTCAAAAATAAAATCATTAATGTTTTCTTAAAAACACATAAATCGCATTATAACATCTACATAGACAAATAATAAAATAGAACATTAAAATCGATATGTATCTCGCTGCATTGCACGAGTACTCTTCTAATAATAAAGAATTGAATTAAATAAGTTACACCAAAAAACGATAACTATTAATAGTTAATTTGATATTAATATCGATTTTATTATTTTCAAAATTTTATGTTATCTTCAAATTTATATTTCATTCAAATAATAAAAAACATTATCGTTTTCTCGAAACCACATAAAATTGTATCATATCGATAGAGACAAAGAATAAAAGGTAGACTTTAGAATGAAGATTTATCTCGTTGCATTGCGCGAGTACACTTCTAGTTTTTTAAAATAGAAAATTAAAACTGAAATATTTAAAAAGTTTTATGCTTAACTTTAAAATATCTTTTATTTTAAATATTTCACCAATATTTAAAGAATACTATAAGGGTATTCGCGCAATGCAGCGAGATATATATTGATTTTAATATTTCATTTTATTCTTTATCTCAGTCGATGTTATAGTATGGTCTAATGTGGTTTTGAAAAAGCGATCATGTTTTTATTTTTGAATAAATTATAAACTTGAAGATATCATAAAAATTTAACAAAAGTATATCGATATTAGTATCAAATTAATTATTTAATCGGTGTACACTCAATATCATTGGCTGATAACCTTGCGGGTAAATTAGACCGAACAAGTGGTCATGACACGAGGACTGACCTACATTGGAGTATACAGCGTCGTGTGCCACCACTTCATGTTCCTTTTTTTTTTGAAGTATATAATATTTATATACGGCAAATACAACAAATAAACTCACACTCTTCTCATCTATGGTGAGGTTTGAACCCCTGACCTCCTAGAAGGCTAATGACTACAATACCGCTAGGCCAAATACCGTTGTGGAATTCTTTACAATGTAATGTTTTTCTTGTGTCCCTTTATATTTTCTGAAACTCAATTGATGATACAAATTTATTGTAGTTTAGTTGATTTATGTCACCTCAATGTGGGTTTGAATGGCTTGTTTAACAACGGTTTTATTTATCAAATTTTGTAAATTGATGCTACATTTTCCTAAAGTTAATTAGGAAAACAACTGTTTTATTTCTGTAAGTAAAAAAATTCATATTGATATATATCATATTAGAAGAGTACTAATGCAATGCAGCGAGACACATCTCGATTTTAATGTTCTATTTTATTATTTGTCTCTGTCGATATTATAATACGATTTTATGTGTTTTTAATAAAACAATAATGATCAACTATTTAAAATATATATNNNNCTGCAATTAGTTAAACAAATTCAGATATGGAGCTTTAATAAGTTGTACTTACGCACAATCTATTTGTAATCTTGAGTTTTAAGTAATATGCATTAATAAACAGTATTTTACGCATAAAAATTAGTTTTTAAGAGTTTTTGTCAAATGCTTTATAATATAGTACAAATTATTTTATTTATAATTTAATTTAAGTTTAATAATGAAATAATTTATTTTTGGTTTAATAATATAATATTTTATAAAGATAATAATTAAGCATTCTGTTAGAACTCAATGATTAATCTAATTATATTTTAGAGTTTTTATATTTAAAATGAGATGTTTATCATGTATTTGATTATGTTTATCTGCAGTTAGTTACCCGAATTAAAATATGGAGCTTTAATAAGTTGTAATTACGCACAATCTACTACTGTAATTTTGAGTTTAAAGTAATATGCATTAGTAAACAATACTTTACGCATAAAAAATGGTTTTCAAGAGTTTTTGTCAAATATTTTATAATATAGTATAGATATATCTCATCCTTCATAGACTTTGCCTTAAATAGCGTATACTATATACCCGGTTAGTTTAGTTGGGGAGAATTGTTTTATAAACCTTTTGATTTCAAACCACATCTTAATATGATTTTATTTTGTTTACTAATTCACAGTCATTTTCATAGTAAATGAACTTTATCATCTTCTTTATATATGTATATATATACTATATTATTAAAATTTGACAAAAACTATCAAAAACCATATTTTATACATGAAGTACTGTTTATTAATGTATATTACTTATAATTCAAGATTACAAGTAAATTTTACATATGTACAACTTATTAAGCTCCATATTTGAATTTGTGTAACTAACTGTAGATAAACACAATCAAATACATGATAAAATTCTCAGTTTAAATATATCTAAAATATAATTAGAATAATTATTGAGTTTTAGCAGAATTAATTTGTCACTAAATCTAAATTAAATTATAATAAAAAATTGAACTAAAGAAATTACATAAAAAATGAGCAACTTCTATATATTTAAAAAAAAAATTATGATATCTTCAAATTTATATATTTAAAAAACATTATTGCTTGTTCAAAACTACATAAATCCATATTATAATATCGATGGAGACCAAAAAAAATAAAATGAAACACTAAAATCGAGATATATCTCGCTGCATTGTACGAGTACCCTTCTAGTAATTAATAATTTCTGATAATTATCCATAAATACCTCAACTATCTATACTATCTTATTAAGCAAATTTAACAAAAGTCTTAAAGTCTTAAAATACTAAATGACCAAGATACCCTTTATACTATTTTTTTATTTTTTTTACTTTTTCACCCACTTCTCTCCTCACATACACTCACCCTCTCACAAACCGATTTTAAAATGATAATTTTAAATTTACACTTTATACCCCTATAATTAGTTAATTATTATTAAGCAAATTTAGCAAAAGTCTTAAATCTTAAAATACTAAGGGCCTGTTTGGTTCAGACATGTGAATGAAAATGGGAATGAAAATGGTAATGACAGGGAATGAAAATGGGAATGAATATTGCATTGATGCTGTTTGGTTAATACTAGGAAATCATTAAAAACCCTAGAACGACTGAAGAACCTTAATCGTTAAAAAAAAAGTGAAGAAGATTGAAGAACCCTAATTGGTGAAAAGGCAAGTCTGTACATCTACACATGATTTCCCACAAACCCACAATCTTTAATCGACAAAAACCCTAACGGTGAAGTCGTAAACCGATTGCTTCGATTGAGTGGCCATGAAGAACCCTAATCGGTGAAAAGGCAAGTCTGTACATCGTTTCAAAAACCCTATAAACGAAACATAAAACGAAGTTCACAGACCTTAACGGTGAAGTCGTAAACCGATTACTTCGATTGAGTGGCCATGGATCGATTTGATTGGAAACCCACCACCGGCGTTCTGTTCGCACCACAGAATCTTGTGGAAAACCAAGATCTTTTCGAACCTATCGGATGAGAAAGTGAAGAAATCGATGAAATTTTCAGAAGATTGAAGAACCCTCATCTTTGATTCCAATATGGAGAAGACGCGATGTGAAGACGTGGGAATAAAAATTTCATTCCCCCCGATTAGTTCAGGAATGGAAATTAATGGGTTTGCTATAATGGGCCCATTATATTATATCTAACCAAACCATATTTTTCATTGTCATTGTCATTCCTTACCTAGCAATACCCCCAACCAAACACCCCCTAAATGATCAAGATATCTTTTATACTACTTTTTCACTTTTTTAATTTTTCACTCCCTTTTCTCCTCACACACACTCCCTCTCTCACAAACGATTTTAAAATTTTTAAATTTACATTTTATACCTCTATAATTAGTTAATTAATTTACTTTACGTCTTTTACTTTTAAATGTTTCATTTTAAACCTTTATCAAATTAACATATATAATCGTATATCAATTAAAACATGTTTAAAAATACATTTTTATTTTAACAAGTTACATCATTATAATCTTCTCGTTAATACATTCAAAATGAGTCTAATATTGAATAGTTTTTAACTTAATTATATTATTATATATTATATATACCGTGAAAAAATATTTTTAATATTTACGATTTATATTTTTATATTATTTATTTATATATATACAATATATTTTGGGATTAGACTGTCCAAATTGCACTGTATAATATGTTCTTGGGTTTTTTGAAATATATATATATATATATATATATATATATATATATATATATATATATACATGTATTAATTCAACCTTAATTTGAGTTTATAGACAAGAAAAAGGGTAAGCAGTTGAAATTTCATTCTAAAATCCATATTTTTTTGTCTTTTCATGACTTATGATCTGTCAAATTTGTAGTTTTCTTTATTAGTTTTGAGTGTTTATCTTAAAACTCAAGTTTCTTGGTTCTTTGCTCTTGGTGTAAATCGAATACATTTGTGGAGTCGTTTAAATATGTTGAATTTTAAATATATTGGATTTTAAACTGTCATACAATTTTTTTCATCGATAGTCTGTAATTGAAACCATAACTCTTATTCATTCAAATTGTATTAATATGTAAATACCAAGTGTAATCTATATCATCGTTAAATCTTATCTTATAAAACCAATAGATGTTCAAAATTGTTAAAATTCATGGCTTCTAACATATTGCGCGCATACACAAACTATAAACTTTGATTATGGTTTGTAAGACTTGCATTATTTGTATTTAAAACCAAACCTATAATTTGGTAACTGAAATTGTAATTTCCCCTGTGTTTTGAAGCATAAACACCCAAATTGCTCGTAAACGGCTTCATCACACTCGACATCCATCCATTTATATAATCCTCAACTGCACCTCCCTCCCTTTTCTCTCTCTCTCTGTTCATCACTATTAGCTCAAAACGATCCTCGTACCAGGATCATCACAATTTCAATTGGAAGTTTGAGTAAGTTCTGACCCTTTCTCTTTCTGTTCCTCAAGTTTCAATGCAAACCCATGTCACTTCTTCAATTTTCTTTGCCAAACTTCTTTCAGAAGTTCCATAGAAATGTGGCCCTTCGAACGAGGATGAGACACTACACCAGGGTTCCTTCAAACAATAACTTTTTTATTTATTGGCTTTTAGTTTATGTTTTGGGGAAGCGTAAATTTTTCATCAGGAGATATCATATTTCAAACAGATATATCTTTTTGTAAGCTGATTTTCGTATTTGATTTAGTAGCTAAGAGGGGAAAGTATATGAAATGGGTAATGCTTGATGGTGTTTGTGAATTTTGATTCTATGCAAGTAGTTTTAGTTTTAAATTATCTGATTTCTGCTACTAAAGTTCGCATTCATATACTGTTCGTTTTTGAAATTTTTGTTGGCTAATTTTGATTGGATATCTAATGAAGTTTGGTGTTTTATCTATTGCATTGTTCTAATGCCAAACAGAGGGAAAGGCAGATACGTATGCAAAATCCAAATGTGCTGAAAGTTGAATTGTAATTACTTGTCTAAGTGAAGTAGAGTTCATATTTTTTTTGTAATTTTCTGTTTTGCAGTGGATTTTGAGGTTGATGATGATGTCAACAGTGAGGAATTATTGAATTCTGCTGACATGGAAGGCAGGAAAGGAGATGAAGATGGTATAGTAGGATGCTCTATTGAAGGGGTATTTCAGAACAACCATGATATTAAAATGGATCATGATGAATCAGAAAGAGGGATGCTTCCTTTGGATGGGGCCCACACAATTAATGACTCACTTCTTGTGGAAGAACCCTATGTTGGGCAGGAGTTTGAGTCTGAAGGGGCAGCACATGCATTTTACAATGCATATGCAACGAGAGTGGGATTCGTTATCCGTGTAAGCAAGCTCTCTAGATCAAGGTGTGATGGAACTGCCATAGGAAGAGCTCTTGTTTGCAATAAAGAGGGTTTTAGGATGCCAGACAAACGTGAAAAAATAGTCCGACAAAGAGCAGAAACACGGGTTGGTTGTAGAGCAATGGTTTTAGTTAGGAAAGTAAGTTCCGGCAAATGGGTAATCACGAAATTTGTCAAGGAGCACACTCATCCGTTAACACCTGGAAGAGGCCGCGGGGACTTGATTTATGACCAATACCCGGTTTGTCTACTTCCTAAAGTGCAGCCTACCAATATTTATATATTTGCTTAATTCTGTCATTGTATATGTTATATTGCTGTTAAACCACTTGCAACATAATTTATGTGATTACCCTGAAATTTTTTCTAGGTAGATGAGTTCTATTTCTTATTCGTGTGATATACCTTGGTTACCTTTATGAGACTTAGGCTCCAACAGGTCCATTTAGGCCAGGAATTGAATCTGGGTTGCACAATTTGAAGTGCTTCACTTGTTATTTTAGAATTTTAAGATAAACATGATGTGAAAACAGAAAAACATGAGGTTTTAATGAACAAGTGAAAAAGATAAAATGATAACAAGAACATACAACATAGATCAAATAGTCCATGTGTTAGAAATGAGTAAACCAAACTAAATGAGCCTAGTATATCCCACCCAAAGATGCTTCCGCGGAGGGGGAGGGGTGTACGCAAACCTGTCATCTAACCCAAAGAGTAGAACGGATGTTCATGTGAAGAGCCCCGACTTGTTAAAAGTGTGTGAGAAAAAGAAAGGTTGCTTAAAAGGTTTGAAGAAGTTGAAAAAGGAGAAGAGTTCGAAAGTGAAGATCTTAAGACCAGATATAGTTATAAAGCATCATCTAGGCTAGCACAATGATGTATTTTAAGTGGGTGTTTGGTTTTAGTACAAACCATCCTTGCGTAGCACTTAGTAGTTTGTTTGATTGAATTCATGTATATACATCATAGCAAATATGTAAAAATTTCTCTTTATTTCAAATTTCCTTTTCATTTTATTTTGATACCTTTAAATATGAACGTTCTTGATATGAATCTTGACCAACAAGATGAATCCAAGAGGAGTATGATATCTAACAAAATGAAATGCCAAGTTAGTCAATGTTAACATAAGGAAGAATGGAGTACACAAAAGCATCAAACAAGAAAGGGTAATTAAGACACGAGGAACGAAAAATCTTAGTCTTTGAGATGCACGACTCCACCTTCAATCTGAAAGTTTAAACCAATGCCTAGAGCTTGATTCGAAAGTCGCTTAATTAAGACATGTCGTAAGACAATGAATGACTCAAAACTCTTGATCTTAATTACTAGTGAAAAACATATCTAAACTAAATGCCCAATTTATTATCAGAGATTCTTTTTTTACTTCTGTTTCAAAAGAGTAGCAGCCTATGAAATAGAAGACATATAAAAAACTTTTGTCTTTATCATGATGATATCAATAAGCTGTTTTATTTTTCTGCAAAGTTGGCCCCAGATTTAGACGAATACTCAATTTGATAAGTTACATAAGTACGAAAACAGGAACTTAGCATATCGAATTGATTTTCAGCAAAGTTTTTAGTATGAAGAACTTGACAATTCATGACATTGAAAACAAGTACCTTCTCCATCCCACAAGAAATGTTGCTTTCTCATGTGTTTTCTGAAGCTAGATTCCTATTTTTATTTGAAAGTGTGCTTATACTTGAAGGCACTATTCTAATTGGTAGTGGGAAAATAGGGGGTTGGAGGAGGGGTTGGACATATTCAAAACTTCAAAATAGTGAATAGATTGTAAGGGATCTCCTTTACTCAATACCAAATAATCACACACATTCTTATATATAAGGATACGACATGTCGCTCAAGTTCAATATGTTTTTTCGAATATTTTATGGAAGTTCCAAAAAGGAAATGTTGCATATCACAGTGTAATAGGCACCTATTGGGAACCCACATGCTTCTTAATAGCCACTTGTGTCCACACGTTCTTTAGTTAACCACCTGCCTGTGCACCACTATGTCTGACTTGTTACAAATGCTACTAAATTTCGAGATACCAAAACTAGCAGGACCAGTTTAATAATATGAGATAACTTTGGGTTCATCACATATATTGGTGTAAACAATCAAATGTAAAGATGTATGATAAAGAATACCAGTGGGCTGATTCCAATCAGTTAAGACCAGAGATATGTCAAATTTAAAGTTAAATGTAACTCTGTTTTCAAAACAAGAAACATTAAAAATATGGCTAAGTAGGAAATGTTTTGTGTCCCAAGTTATTTGACTATCTCTTTATTGTTATCTTTTGAGAGTCGACTTTGTTCGAGTTATCTTATTGTGAGATAACTGGTGATTGCTTTCCTATTTTGATCAACATGGTTTGGTGTACTTTATATCTGTTTCTCTTTATTTGGATAACAAAGGAAGTTATTTGATGTAAAAAGAGAATGGAAAAGCATATGGGCTGAGTTATAGGCAGGAAGAATAAGGCAATAGGAGAAGCAGTACATACGGAAAACAGAAGCAATTAATGCAAGAGTTGATATTCTACCAGCTTAATTATGTGTGTGTGTGTGTATATATATATATATATCAAAGCCAGCACAAGCCTATGAATGATTAACAGGTTACTACACAATCGCGGAAGAGACAATGTGCTGGTTCATGATGGAAAAATAGATGTGCTGAAACTCATTAATATGCTACTCAAAAGAAATTGCAAGTCCTATCGACAAGGAAAGAATGAAATGTTAAAAATCACTAACAGAAATTTATTTAAGATCTACATGTTCGCAAATTTCTGGTGGTATCTGCTAGGTAAAAGGTTATTGTTATCAATCATTGCCTTTTCTTAGACTCACTTTGGCTTTTTTAAATTAGGATGTTATGAAAAGTAATATCGAAGTTTGATGGGTCTGATTGATTAAGTAGCAATTATCTAACTTGGTATGAATTTTGGATTGGAAATCAGTTGCTGGTTAGCGACATGAATCTGGTTGGGATTCTCTGTTTGTGGTTGACATAGCTGATTATATTTTAGAACTTTTACCCAAATTATGATTCATGTTTGTTGTGGAAAGCATACTCGTTAGTCTTATCCCCCATGAGAGATTCTACTTTCCATATCTTTCCCTTCATGGAGAAGAATTCACATTAGAAAGCAAGGGAAGGTCTATCTGAGGATATCTATTTCCCTATAAGAATGCAGTGATCTTAGTGAAAAGACTGCTGGTGTGTCGATATTTCTTTTCATAAATCTTGTTCTGTTGAGTGGTTTTGTGTTTTAGGTATGTCGGCACACCTGAAGATGAAATCTGTAACTGCGCACATACACTTAATTAGCATAATCATTGGCCTAAATTAGCGTGGAGCTATGAGTGATGGTCGAGCTGGTTGCATGGTCTCATGATATGTAGCTCGTGTAAAACATTCCTCATCGTTGGTGCTACTCGACCCCAATCTTTTGATGGGGTTACAATAATCTTGTGGATGATGCCATTTACTTCTTGCAACCTTTCATTCGGCCTTTAATGTCCATTCTAGATTACATCCAACTTATTGCAACCTCTGATTCGGTTTTTGCAGAATGAACATGATAAGGTTCGTGAACTCTCACAGCAACTAGCAACCGAGAAAAGAAGATCAGCCACCTACAAACGGCATCTGGAAATGATTTTCGAGCACATTGAAGAACACAATCAATCTTTATCAAAAAAGATTCAAGAAATTGTAAACAACGTGAATGAGATAGAGTCGAACGAGATTGAAACCCGTAGATAGATAGTTTTTTTCCCCGAAAAAGAACAAGGCTAATTCATCACATACAGAAATCTGTAGGATGTCATGGATTCTCGGCATTGCTTGTTGATTTTGCAACTTTGCCTGTAGATGCACATTGTGAACTTACTAATTTTAGAAACCTTTTTCTTTCAGCTTTTGAAAGATTTTGTGTACAATTGAAAACCTTATATAATTAAAGATGTCTTTATTTATTCCATGAGGCTCTCGTCAATGCTAACATCACGACTTTTTTGGACGATGAAGTGATCGAAACTGGAATTGGAGAGTGCGATTGAAACATCCGAGGCTTCCATGTTGTCTGAGAATTATACATCTTCGACCTGGTTTCTCGATGAATTGATATCTAATTAAAAACAACTTTAAATCAAACCATATGATCAAAATTATATATATATATATAGGGTATATTTCTTTTACAACCTGGTGTATTTGTACAACCCTTGCAACTCAATTAATTGAGATATTTATAGAAATGAAGAGAGATCATTTATTATGATTTGAATATTTATGGAATATAAATAGAGTTCATTAATTATGATTAATACTTTATATTATGAAACAATCAAAACTTCTATGAAATCACATATTCATCAAATGAAATGGACGGTTGAGATTGGGTTGTATTGGTTACACAAATGTCAATCAAAACACAATATAGAACCATTTTTTACATAAAGTTAAAAAAAACTATGAATTACAACTAACAAAGCATAATGTACAACTTTTTACTGTACAACCACCAACGTTGAAGCATTGAGTTTCACTTTCTTCGTTCAAGCTTTCTTCCTCCCCTCTTTATAGCTTTCTTCCACCTATTTAGCAACTTCAAACCATCCTTTCTTTATTGTGAACATCATCATCACTCAGAGGTCTCTGTATTTGTTGTATTGTTGAAGAAATCGTTGGAAACAAAGATACCTACATAACATCCTGTTGCATCGATCCCCCCTCTTTCTCTCAATCACATTCGCATAGCAAGCGTACGAAAACCCCAACTCTTGATTTCTGATCTCCATTCACGATTGATCGTTTTTGCAGGTCCATCTTTGCAGATATTCTTCAAGTTTGTGTTTGAGTTATTAACCAGGGTGACAATGGATCAGGTGAAGTTGGGTTTGGTTTAACCTATTTATTAAAATTGTTGAAACTTTCAACCCAACTCATTTAATTAAATGTATTGAGATTTTTCAACCCAACCTAACTTGTTATTTAAATGGATTGACAACGGGTTGATCTGTTTATAATTTTCTTAACCTAATTTGTTATATAAATGGGTTAAACCTGAGTTGACCCATTTAATTTTAAAACTTTAAATAAAAAAAGACTAGACTATTTAATTTTTTGGATAAAACACAACACAACTACAAATACAAACAAATTGTTTAAAATTTGAACAAAACACGTCCACAACTAGGGGTGAACAAAAAACCGTTAACCCGCGAAATCTGCGCAACCCAACCTACTAACAACCCAATTAAACCCAACCTGTCAAACTGCCAAACCGTTAATTAAGAGGGTTGAAATTGGGTTAGCATAACTTAACTCAATCCAAACCGCTAACCCGCCACTAATGTATTTTTTTTATAAAATTATGTGTGTGTGTGTATATATATATATATATATATATATATATATATATATATATGATATTTATAAAAATTAAGAAGGTGTTTAGGAATTTGAATTGCTTATAACTATAACCCTTAAGGTTTTAAACCTTTAACCCAATAACCCTTAAGCCTTATCCCTTAACCTCGTAAGTGTTAACCCAACAGAAATAAAAATATGAAACACCAACCCTAGTCCCTTCGTCCTTGCTTCAAGTTATGTATTTCTAAGTTTCTTTTCCATCATAAATTCACAATTTCAATTTTCAAAGATTTCTTCATTCCACGACAAACCCTCCGTCGGTCCGTCCCTTACGACCTTAGCCAGTTATCCCTTTACGATTTTGAAATACCATGAATTATTAAATTGTCCATAAATTTAATAAGATTAGAAAGCTAATATATTTGTAATCAAGATTTAGGACCTGTTTTTGTGTTATATGGGTTGAAATTGAAAGGGTGGCATGTGTCATCAGAGAAAAAATAAATTTTTCGCTAAAGTAGATAATAATAAAATGAGAATGAGAATTACGAACAGAAACTAAAAAGTTATGTTTCTAGCTTTCTACAGCTCTCAGTGTTTAAGAAGAATTATGACCAATCTTGCAGAGGACACATACTTTGACATATGAAAATGATAAGTCTATTGCTCGTATCAAACTTTTGAAATTTGATTCGAAGACTTGAGGATTTAGATATATTTTTGGATGAATGTAATAACTAATGACTTTGTTGGATATATTTTTAGTATTATTTATCATATTTCATTTACCAATTTTATGAATTTTAATAACCCGTCAACTCAATCCAACCCGTAAGGATTGGGTTTGGGTTGAGATTTCCCAAACCGTCATAATTGGGTTGGGTTGTAAAAATGTCATAAACCGCCCAACCCAACCCGTGTTCACCCCTATCCACAACAAATATATTGTTTAAAATAAATTGAAAAATTTTAAATTCTAAGTAACTGACTTCCACTTTCACCAATCTCAAAGTTTGGAGGCAATAATAGAGTAATGGACTAAAGTGTTTTCTTAGGGTTGCATGATGATTAAAAGTAATGGATGCGATTGAAATTTGAACTTTCATCTTAGGATTTTAATTAAGAATAAAATAAAAAATTAGAATACTAGATATATATTAAAAATAAAATAAAATTATATAATATTTTAAATAAGTTGGAAACTGGTTAAAAACAGGTTGTAAACAAGTTTAAAGCAGGTAACTCAACCCATTTATTTAAATAGATTAGATGATTAACTTATTTATTTAAATGAGTTGAAAATCTCAACCCAACCCGGTAATTCTAGGTTGGATTAGCGGATTGGGTCATTTTTTACCACCCCTGTTATTACTCTCGAACAAGTATTGCTCTAAGTTAGCCTTCAAGTTTGGGAGCTAGGGGTATGAGAATAGATCATAATTCGATTGTGGGGATGGGGATGAGGCGGCAAAACCTGCCCTATCCCCACTCATTTCAATCCATATAAGGAACTCCATATGCTATTTCATAAACTGTTATGTACACATATGCCATTAGTAGGAAACTGTAAACAGACTGTTTTCGTCACTCGAGAGATGAATCAACCTTGTGAACAGATCGAGAGAAAGCCAGAATGTCATCAGGATCATCGGCTATCTTACCACCATCTTTACTCCTGGAGATGATGCTTTCTCGTATCACCTCTCTCCTCTTCTCCATCACATCCTCCTCCTTCTTCTTCTTCACTTCCTCCTGCTCTCTTTTCTCCTTGTACCCTTCCACTTCCATCCCTTTCTATTAGCCTCTCAAAACCCTAATTTAAAATGTAGAAATGCGTAGTCTCTCTCACACACACACACACACACAGTATATATATATCATATACAGAAGCAGGATAAGTGATCAGAGAGTTGATCAATCAAATGAACACGTACGTAGCTACGATTACACGTGGTAGCATTGCATGTTCTCCACCTTTAAATGAAACCCCAGTTATATATAATTCCAATGAGATAAAATATAAAAAAAAAACACAACCGCATTATATTATTAGGAAAATGAGGATGATCAGAATGGTTGGGACGATTGATTCGATTGAAGTAAGGTGGAGTCGACTGATTGCAGCTAAGACGTCGGACCGCACTGCCGTTCATGGTGTTAAGCATCCGGCTATCCATACTGCACACGATGTCCATCACCCTTCCCTTTGTATATTATGTAATTTGTATTATCCAGTAATTTCGTATTTTCAGTTTTTAGATTAAAAAAAACAAAATATTAAGTAACTGGGTTCCATCCCGTGTGTTACACGGGTTAATTTGAAAAATTAAATCATATCAGAAACTTATTTTACAGATATAAATTATCATCGAAAGTGCGATGTTATTTCAGATTTGTACTTTTGAAATAACTTTGAACTATGACTCTTCAGAATTTAGAAATGAAAATATATCAATAATTAGTTAAAATGAAGTTAACATCTATAATAAAATTAAATGTGTTATTTTGAACAAATATAGACATATTTTTGGCAAAAAAAAAAAACCTTTTATAGTCAACATGTTAACCAACAAAACTAGTCTTACAGGATTCCTTGACAACATCAGCAAGTGATAGCTGAAAGTTGTCACAATAAGCTGAAAGTTGTCACGATAAGTTGAAAACACGAGTTGAAGGCTGTCAGCAATAACCTGTCACATTAACTGTAAGTTGTCAACGATAAGCTGAAAGCTGTCAGCAATGACATGTCAGATTAGCTGAAGGCTGTCAGCGATAAGCTGAAAACACAAGCCGAAGGCTATCAGCAATAAGCTGTCAGATTAGCTAAAGAAAATTAGTCTGAACTAAATCCCGTTTAGTAGGGAATCAATTAAACCATGATAAAAAAAAGATACATTTTTAGAAACCAAATAAGCTTATCGGTTTTGGGGATAAGGATACCAATACCCGGCCCGTTGCCATTCCTAGCTTACAAAACTTTATCACAATGCTTGGTAGCAATTTGTGTCCATATACATAGCTAAACTTGAATAAAACAAGAGACAACCGAAAAACCTGAAATTATGATCCAACAACTATTGAATCGAGTCTTTGGGCCAAATCCAAGGATAGTTGCAAAAAAGTAGAAAGGAAAAGCAGGTTGTTAGAATCGTTCATTCGATTAGGTTTATTTTGAAAATTTGAGCCAAATTTTACAGCCCAATTTGAAAACTTTGAATATTATATACATTTATTTAACGCTGCAATTTATTTAGTTATGATATTTTTTAAAATTGAATACATAATTAAAAACTTAATGATAAAATATTAAACTCAATAGTTACAAGAATTTTTGTTTATAGGATGCATTTTAGAAAATATTATGTTTAGTTAGTACCATTATTTTTGGTCACTAATTATTTTAAGTCATTAACCACTACTTTTTTGTTACCAAAACTTTTAATTTAGTGATCATCATTTTTGTCACTATCGTTCTTAAATAACACCAACTAGTTAGTCACCATTATTTTTGGTAATTAAAGCTTCCATTTTTTTTTTGTTATTAGCATTTGTAAGTAAAACCAACTAGTTAATGACCACTATTTTTTGTCATTAAAACTTCCAACTTAGTGACCACTATTTTTTGTATCAAAAGTAAAACCCAAACTCAGATTCATAACAAATCTTAGTCAAATCCACTAATCATCCAAAATACCTAAAATTGGTCAAAATTTCAAAACATGGATGATACCTCAAATTAAATGCTGTAGGAGGTTAAAATGAAAGATTTTAACAAGGACAAAGGTTTCGAAAGTTAAGACGGACTTACAATTCATTTTCGGGAAGAAGTCCCAACTAGGTCAATAATGGTGGAAATCTGCAAGTCAACCTAATCCAAACCGTGCAGGTTGGTCGGGTTAGTAAGGTTGATAATTTGGTACATTAAATATTTTCTTAACCTTAAATATGTTGTTTTTGTCTAGTCTACTTATAATTTTTTTCATCATTCATTTAGTACAATTTATTTGTATTCCTTCAATTTTAAGTATATCACATTCCATTAATTTTTCCCAATTTACATACATATATATATATATATATATATATATATATATATGTATGTGTCTGTGTGTTTTCATAGTTATTGAACATATATATATATACAAATAAGTTAAACAAAAATGAAGAATATATCAAAAATATATGTATATAAAAAGGGTGTGTGATAATTTAATACATATCAATAATGATTTAATAATTATATTAAATCTAATAAATAAATGAATATTGGGTTTGTTGAGTTGGGTTGATCGAGTTGTAACGATCGCACCCAAAACCCCAACGACGAAAGTGTATCAATTACATCGAATTTACCAAATATGATCCAATTTGAAGGGAGGATAAGTAGATACAAATTCTAGGGTTCGATTCTTCAATTCAGAGCCATCTTCCCCTCTCTCAGTCCCTCATTGCTCACATTCCACCATGCTGCCACCATAGCCGCCATCGAAGCTTACTGCACCACCTCCGACGACTCACGCACCAACGTTGAATTGTTCAAGTTTATGCTGCCCTCCGAATTCTGGACCTTTTGATTTGTGAGTTCTAATATCCTAATTCCTGCAAAAGTTTAGGTTTTTTGTATCACTATCAAATGATTATGAGATTTCAGGGTTCGGTTCTTCTTTTCCTGAGATAATAAATTAAGCATAACTTGTCAACTAACATCCCAAGAAACCTCAAATTTCTCCCGACTTGTATAGAGTTCAGTATACATTTATCGAGAATGCAAGTTCAAACCCTCAAGAAGGGTGATCATGATTTGCCAATTTTTGTTTAAGTTCCGACTTTAGAGTTCTTTTAAATGTAATTTATTAGTTGCAATTTCTATTTTGAGCACTTTCGAACATGACGCCACTTCAAATAGGAAATCAATTCTCTTATTACCTTTTTGAGGTTCATTAATTGTGGTTTGTTCAAATATGAAGAATAAAAAATGTTTTCCTTCTGTCATGATTCAACAACTGCTTGTAGAACACAATCTAGGTGTCAGCAAGGGGATATTGCTTGGAACAACATTCAAGAAGGCTATCCATGGATGGTAAGAGAGCTTTAACATGCCTGTGTTGCAGAGAAAATTATTAAGTGTGGGGGTATTGATTGAATGAAATTGAACTTTCTAAGAAAAAAGCTCCACCACAAGTGAAGTTTGAATCTTTGAAACCAGTTTATGAATCTGCAGAGGAACGTGTAAATATTTTGGTTTCTAGCATATATTTTGTGAGTCTCTTGCTATCCACATTGTTCTGTTTTAAGCCATTTTAGTTCCTTATGTATTTTCCCCTACTAATAGGAGTGAATCTTGTTGAGAATCTGGGTTTTTGTGGTTACAATCGCTTGGATAGTTCTTGGATCCTGTATGTATTGCACTTTCAAAATACTATATTTCAACCCTTTTATGCCTTAGATTTCATGAAATCTGTAGTGGGAGAATTCACAAAATTGAAATGATTAATTGTTTGACTGCTAAATGGTAATCAATCTTCAAATTGAATAGGTTTGAAGATTGATTACATGTTGATTTGATAGACCTGTTAGGTTAACTTTTATTTCTGATCTTGGTTACCTTTTATGTCTGATCTCATGTTTGACTTCTCACTTCATTTATTAGATGTCTCTTGATCGGAATGATCATACTTATATTCTTTTTCTGCAGCAGACAAAAAACAAATGTTATTGGAGGATGATATTGAAAAACTAGAAGTGCCTGTTCAGGGGGAACTAAGTCTATGTGAAGCTGACAAAAATCAGGAACCATGTGAGGGTATGCTATTTGATTCAGAGGAGGCAGCAAGAGCATTTTATGATGATTATGCAGGGCGGATGGGTTTTGTTACTCGTGTTTTATCTTCTCGGAAGTCAGAGAGGGATGGAACAATAATTTCCCGTGGACTTGGATGTAGAGGGGAGTCAGAAAATCATAAAAACGAGAGCATTATGGTCCAGAAGAAAAATAAGGGCAGAGAAGGTTGTATGGCAATGATTTTAGTGAAGAGAGAGAAACCTGGGAATTGGGTCGTTAGGAAATTTGTAAGGGAACATAACCATCCACTTCATGTCTCAATTTCAAAGAGACGCCCAGCTTTTGTAAGTTCACAGCAAACCTGTGTATGGATTTTGCATTCATATAGTACTCTCCCTCTGACCGAAAATAAACGCAGCCATTTTCTTTTTGGTTGTCCTAAAATAAAATGCAACATTTCCTTTTTGGGTAAGGGTTTAATCCAAATTTACCTTTTTCCCTGATTAGTAATCACTAAAAATACTTGTATAATTGATTTTGATCTACTAGATTTCTTTTAGTTTGTCATTACTTAGGGAATTTTAGATACCTGAGATCAAATATTCTCATCAAGTCAAATGTTGTGTTTGTTTTGGGACGGAGGGAGTATATATCTGCATAATGCAAGATGACAAGCATGCTTAAAGTTATATCGATATGCTTTTGCATAGGATGAGAAAGACAAGAGAATTCAGGAACTAACTGCTGAACTGCGTGTAAAGAAGCGGTTGAGTGCAGCATACAGAGAACAACTTCTTGCTCTAATGAAAGATGTTGATGGTCACAATGAACATATATCCACAAAAGTTCAACTTGTACGTAATAATCTAAAAAAACTTGAAGAGAATGGACACATCCATCACAGATAGGCCAACCACCATATGTTTGGTGAGTATTCTAGTCCTTCAGATAGGCTATTTGTAGTCTGAATGCTCATGCTTATTACTGTTGGCTTGGACTGGATTCCTAACGAATGATTGATGTTTCTGAACTATCGCATCTGGCTAACCATTATTCTTGTGAAAATGGCAAAGTTTCAAAGAAAGAGTGATCTTGGATCAGTTATGGGAATGTAAACACATGGAAAGAAAAATACACCAGACTTGGCAATCTTTGTCCAAAATCATGCCTTCTTTTGAACTTTGAAGTATATACCTACAAATATGCGTGTGGGTGTAGGTGTAGGTGTAGGTGTAGGTGCAGGTGCGTGTGGGTGTAGGTGTAGGTGCGTGTGGGTGCAGGTGCGTGTATATATATAGAAATACATGTATGACTACATGTATGCACACATACATACATATACAGTCATACATATGCACACACACATGCATGACTACATGTATGCACACATAACATGTATATATATAGAAATATACATGTATAGAGGGAGGGTCAAATGAGAACAAGGTTAAAATAAGAAAACAGAAGAACAACTAGGAACATGGTCAATGCAAGGGGTGTGCAGGCGACTTGGCCCCCGACCTAGGTCGCTTGACTCACATGTGATTTTACACATGATTTTAGTGTAAAATCACATGGTTAGGCCGTAATTTTGTTTTCTTATTTGGTCACTGTTCTCGTTTGAACCAACCGTACATGCATATGTATACATGTATCTGTACATATGTTTGTGGAGGGGCTTAATCATTTGAGAACTCTATATATTGTGATAACCGTAAGAACTTTTATCTTAACGTATTGTTTCACATGATTTTACTCATGTAAGGCTAGCATTTAATGTATTAATGAACATATATTTGTTTCACTATACATTTGCTTCATGTATATGCGGTTCACAATGTGAAACTCTTTTACGTGTAACGTTTGTTTCACAAAGATGCTAAAAAGGTTCACATTGTGAAACACGTATATGTGAAAAGAAAACACATTGCAAAACGAATATATGTCAATCGATATTCTAAATCCTAGTCTTCGATGGAAAAAAATCATATGCAATAGCACATGATGCACTAGTTCTCAAGGTTATCATAATTTCATGGGTTCTCAAAAGAAGGTCATGCGTTTATGGATATATAAACGTATGTTTTTTTTTTGTGTGTGTGTGTGTTTTACAAGAATGATGGTTTGTTTGTAATGAAATGAAAGACAATACAATGGTTCACTGAGTTTTAAATTAATTTGGATGAATGTATCATAATATATCTTCTATAATCTATGTGTTCCCTTTCTTTATTTCATGATGAAAGATGGTGCTATTAGTTAGAAAAAATTTATTATCTTAAATAGTTCCATGGTATATATGCTGTTAAATATTTGATTGTAAAATCATTGTAGAACAGTATATGGTTCCACTTGGAACCCCATGACTTTTGCTTGTGTTGAGAATGCAATTTTTCTGAACCATGATTCAAATTTACAGGTACAGGCTTCGGTTTGGCATGCTCGTTGCATAAACTAGCAGTAAACAGAGCTCGGCTCGTATAATCGTGTAAGTAAACATCGTCAAAGCTGGTGGATCAGTAGAAAAAGTTAGTAAAATAACCAAGTCCAAAATGATGCCCTCAGAGGCTGGTGTTAATGTATATAGAGGTAACCAAAGTTGTATGCAACTATTTGTTAGCGAACGTGTTGGACTAGAAATTATGACCCCTGTTGATATCGTTCTCCAACACTGTATGGCGCAAGGATCCTATACAATGAGTATTCGTGTCGCTGATAGTGAAATGGAAGTCAACATGATCTCTTGATTCCTTGAATGCGTGTTATCGACTCTTGGAGATGTTTCACAAATGTATTGGGGTACAAGACGATTCTTGGTACTTCCATATCGCTGTCATTCTGTCTGGTGTGAACCCTATGGGCCGTGGCTTACATATAAACGTTTGGTAAATAGCCCCTAAGTGTTTACCATGTTTCACTTATCTTATCGGTGATCACGATAAGGACCGAAAAAGAAGACTCTTATTCGAGGATTCAAAATAAGGTAATGCAGCAAGTGTTCACCCAACGGCCCCTTGTTCTTTAGCAGGGTTTAGGTTTTATAGAACTAAAAAAAGATTATTATATGAATTTTGAATGACAAACGTTGTAGTTTCATCATGTACATATGATTGAAACCACTCCGAAATTTTGGGACGGTTGGCCGTCAGCGAATGGTTCAGTCGCATATAACTCAACTTGATTCGGTCGGACCCACACCATTGCAGATAGAGATGGAAATTTAGACAACACATAACCGAGGAGTGACAGGGCTCAACTCATTTCTATACCCAAAGCAGGTTCGGGATGGGGACGAGGATGATATTACCTGCCCGCCAGCCCTTGTATATATTGATATTACTGTTTACTGAACGGGCAGCTAATGAGTTTCCCACTCCGGACGGGAATTCCTTCCTCCAACCAGTTGGGGATTAGACGGGGCGGACGTGAGGATGAGGCGTGTATTCCCTGCCCATTCCTCATCAACTTTCATCCTCAATAGCAGAACGCTAGCAAGTAAAGAAAAAGACTAGAATTGATAAGAGATGCATGGAACTGATATGTTATTGTGTTCGAACCGATTGCCATCTCTCGGCTAACCTAGCATCCTCTGTTGAGGGACCAACAAGTAGTGGTACACAAGTATTCACATGCCTTTGGACCTGTTCTTAGGTCCTAACTCACCCTCCCATGATGAACCTTGCAGATCACACCAATCTTAGATCTTGAAGTACTTGTATCCATCTTCAGGGTTTTTCATTCCCTCTTCCCAGTCACCCATTGATCGCCCACCAAACACCACCTGCTGTATGCCCAAATACCTGCCAAATAACAAGACGAAAAAGAAAGAATGAACCATGAGATGGTAAACTTAAACACATTGACCACCAATCTTCACGTAAACAATCGCACTACTCTTTGGAGTAGACGTCAGGTCAGCATACATCAAAGCATCTCCAAAAGATTTTCTCTAGTTTGTTTTGGTTTACACAAAGACCACCTACTCTTAGTTGCTAGAAGATATTGTGGATTGAAATACAGAAAAAAAATATGCTTACTCTGAACTCAATACAGTAAGGCAGTTGAGCAGCACATCAAGGGCAAAGTAATCTGAAGTACCAATGTCTACCCTGTTGGACATTTTATTAAAAGCTGTGATCTTTGTTTGAAAAACAGAAATAGCAGCAATAGACTCAAATGTGATATAGTGACTGTTTTATAAAGTAAATGGTAACAAACTTCATACCAAACCCGTCCCCAGTTGTCCTGAAACTCAAGATCACCGATATCATGGAATGATGATGCCATCACATTGAAACCCTTATCTGCGTCATAGAGAGGATTATACTCCATTGATGTATTTGCCAACTGCCACATGAAAGATCACTATCAGCACTATTCCACCAGAAATAAAATTTTGTGTTTGATGTTTCGGTGTTCAATACATATCACAAGCAGCATCAAGATTTCTCTTCACTACATGGTTTTCATAAAGCTTCATCATGAAAGCAACTTTCCAACATTTGGCAGATGCAAGGAAGGATTTTCTTTAACGGAAGGGACCCTTGGTTACAGTTTCCTTTTTATTATATATTTAATTAAATGAATTGTAATAATTGCCATTTTCTCATCAATATTTGGGGAATTAGAATATAATACACTACCAGTAAATAAGTAAATAAGTAAATAATGAAATACAAAACCAAGCACCCGCATTATAACTACCAGGTTGGCATATTTGAAGCAGTGCATTCATTAAGATTAGTAATAATCAAAAGAACCAGAAAGTGATTATTGATTAGTTGCAACAACTCATAATGCTCTATACATAGTACATAACTATTAAAAGGTTGATAAAACTAACAAAAAATATTGAAGTGATAATACCTGCAAATTATATGAATTATATGCACCCAAGCGTCCCATGACATACCATGACTGAATAACCTGTCACATAGATAAGCAAGATTGCTCTATTTATTCTTCGTACCTTGACGAAAAAAAGAAGACAATGTATTTGCAGTTTGTAAACAGAAAACGGAACAGTTTCAATAACCATCTTCTTCTGAAAGCTTGTCTGGGGAAACTGAGAACAAATAGAAAAGGCCACAGGAACGGTTTCCATATGAACCAAAAAGGCAAAAAGCTCGCAGGAAAATGTGTAGAACAAAAAAGAGGATGGGAAGAATCTACATACACTGCCTATCAGGTCAACATCCCGGTCAGAAGGTGGTCCATATAACTTGAACCATATATTGGAACCAACAGGACTGAAGCTGTCAACCACAAATGAAAACAAAGACCTCTTTTTGTAAATTAAACAGGTATTTCAAAAAGAAACTGCAGCAAAAAGAAACAAAGATACATTTTTTATATTCTTCATATAAGGATATCTTTTAAATCAAGAAATGTGATTTCATTGTTGACAGCACTTAGGTGGAGGCTTCCTAAAAAAATGGTTTACTATGGTGATGGTCATTTATTAGGATCCTCAAGTTGAAACCAATTCCAATATCAGATAAATGAGGATATTAAAGAAAATGACTGCAACCGAAAACCTAAGGTTTGACTCTTTAAGCCAATAGATTTATTCGTGGGTAGCAGAAATCTCTAAAGAAGAGTAAATACAAGAGAGAAAACAAGTTAATTACTCTCTAAAAGTGACTTTGAAAGCAACAACAGAACCCGTTTTAGACTTGTGAAAATCCCGCCCCTTCTTCCGAATCCTATCTTCAACCTGTAGAATCATGTTTGTAGAAATATCACAAATCTACAAAGAAAACAATCAAAAGTGTGCTGGAACTACTAAGGAAAGAGTTATTCTACCTATATAAGCCAGAACTTCCTCATGTTTATGGAGTACATATAATCCACCCCAAGCAGGGGTCACTGTGACATGCCACTATAAGAATGGGAACAAAAATAATACATCTAAGAGGTAGAATGCACAATGCCTTCTTTTACAAGGAATCCAGCATGAAAAAAAAAACCCAAACACGAAAGGCTAACGCTTCTTAAAACTTAGTGGATGAAAGATAATATGATTGTTCTTACTTCTTATTACAGTTCTAACATCAGCAAGCTAATATGTTGATGAAGATAAATCCATAATGATCGTTGAGCATGGAAATGCAAATCAAGTTTGGAAAAACATAAAGAAACCAAAATCAAGTGTGGAATATTTGAATATAACTTGCCATCTAATATAGAGACCACAAACACAAACCATTTTTAAGCAAATGGGGAAAATCATGGTTTCAAAAAGCAAAAAAGAAGAGACCCTTGTCGATCAATTGATGAAATAGATGCCAATTTTTAAATTAAAACCTAGATCAAAGGTTTCAAAACCTAGTTTTATGGGATTTAAAGACTAGCATACGAAGTCCAACATAAAAAGACATCAATCATCCATATCATGTAGGTGATTTCTATTTTGTTGAAAATAATACACCTTTCCATTGAGCTCTCATGTTGGAAGTAGTGTTTCATGAAAGGTTGAAGAATTAAGAGCCTATATGTGGAATAGGCGTACAGGAATGGGTAGGGGGTTTGGAGGAGGGAGGAGCAAGTAATTAGATATATTATTTTGAAGTTCATGTATATTAGGTTTTCTAATTAAATAATAATAATTTTAATTAACCAAATTAAATTATATATAATAATGCAATATTTTGATTTGTTATGTACTCTACCCAAAATAAATAAATACTTGAACACATTTGATGCAAAAGTGCCAATTTCCAAGTGAAGACATAATTGGCATTACGGACATTTTGTGTGCTTAAGGGGGAACCTTGCTGGAGTGTTGATCACAACCATGGTCTTTAAACATAATATGATAGTTCAGCAACCTCTTTAAGCTCTTTCTTAATAAATAGCCTAGACAAGACTAATGTATCTTTGGGTGATCTTATCCACTATCACCATAGAGATTTGGAGAGGCACCCACAACATAAGCAGGGTACTAAAAGATGGCGCACAAAGTCCTTCCTTATCTGCCCATAATTCTTTTTGAGTGTCAAACAAGTCTCATAAAAGCAAGCACTCAGCACACTGTTACTCAAATATCAGAAGGTGTTACATTAGCATCAAGTCTAAATGGGGGTATAAATCATTACATTGTGACAATGTGCTCGTTTAACATATCAGTAAAACTAAAATGCATGGAGCATGGCATGTGGACGAAGAAAGGTGGTTTCAATGAAAGATAGGAATGAAAGACCTACCTCAATGTTTAACTACGTGAAAACATCATCCAACAACATCTTTACTTTTAGAACATCTAATAATAGAAAAAGAACATAAACTATTACCTTCTGTCTCATCTGTTCTGGCTTCCCAATGCTATCACCAAGAACATTTCTGAGTTCAACATCATTTCTGGCTGCCTCTTCCAAAACCCTGCAACCAAAACAACACAAGCAAATTAAAGTTAATAATTAGGTTGAATTCAATGAATTTGCAAACCAAAAACTTATGATTTGGGTATTCGGAACGGGGAATTTATTTAAGAACAAAAGGGGGAAAAAGATTACTTAGCCCAAGAAGGATAGTTGTGAAGGCGGTCATATTCACGTTTCCTCTTCTCTTCTCGGACCTTGAGCAACCTCCGCCCTCTTGCGGTCGTACCAGAACCTTTCGCATCTTCAACTAAAGAATCACCATCATCGTCTTTCCTTCTACCAGAAGATTTTGCACTTACGGCGATGATCGTTGTTCTTCCGGTTCCTGGAACAAATTTAGGACAGAAATACAGAGTTTCTTGATTCAATGAAACGGAAGAACAACGATTGAATGCACAACACATGTGCATCTTGCAAAATTTTATAATCTGATTCTCGAATCTGTATTCAAAGTTATGGATAAGCTGACGTTAGGGTTCTAAAGGGGTTTATGGGTTTAAGCGGATAAATATAGTTTTGTTTCTTGGCTTGATTGCATACATCACCCCTACAGTTTGAATATTTACATAAACAGTCCCTGAACTGTAAAATTACATTGTTTTCTTGTTAACAACCATCACAAAATATCAATAATATTGATGTTACACCATAAGTTTTTATTAATTTTTCTTATTAAAAAGTATTTTAATTATTAGTCAAAAACTGTCATATTTTAATCGTTACATTTTACACCATTTTTTTAATTATATAATATTTATATACAACAAAGTTCACCCACACAGATTGAATCCTTGACCTTCAATAAAATCGGGATCTTGACCAGTTACAGAAGACCCGGTGGTGGCTCGATTGTTACACAGAAATCCTTAACTGAGCGATTGGTAACTCGAGGTCAAGGCCTGGTTAAGGATCAGGCACAGTTAAGGTTAACTGGAACTCGTTATGTAGTCCCGGTTAAGTGTCTACTTCTGCCCTTAAGAACAAGCATGTTATCTGTAGGATCTCAATGGAATTTTATCCAAGTCTCTCAAGGGCATGGCGTTTCATCTCGAACCGGAATGTCAAATAGACAAGGACCAACTGCTAGGAGTTATGACCGATTGAGACGGGTTAAAACACAAAACTCTAACGAAAGAAAAGGCGACTGTTCAGATTTCCTTATTGACCATCTCTATTGAATTTCCTACATAAAAAAGCCAGGAAAGAGTACACAGGTTACATGTAAAAACATCACCAAAATTTTCGGCAAGTTTGTGATTTATAACGAAAAGTAATCCTCAGTAACTACAAGTAAAGCTACAAGAGACCATCATAATTCATGAATAGCACATCTAATCTCTCTGCAGTTAGAGCTTAGAACCAATAAGTTACGCAGAGCTGCAAAGTTTTTGGGCATGATGGCATCATGTTTCATCATCAAACAGACTTCACTTTGCGAGATGGAGGACGACGAAAGAGACTGATGAGATCATCGACACCCTGTTGAAAGAGATCATGCAAGTATGTTCAAATTTTTTTGCTCTCAATTAATAAAATTAAGTTTTGCGTATATTTTAAAGTTTTAGTAAACGAGAAGGTCATACCCTGGTAGTTATCACGAGGAAACTGAAAAGGGTGATCAAATATGATCCAAGAACTAGTAGCAAAAGCAAGTCGAATGTTACACTGGCCACCTGCAACAAAGTCGAGGTGATTTTGAAGTTAGTTCTAACAGTTTATCATATTTAACCATTTATGGAAAAGTGTATGTGATTACATAAGTTCGTAATTTCTATTTTTTCAAACATAAATTTCAGATTTTTTGATGAGGAATTGCATTAAATTTCCATTATCGGTTTACAATGAAGTTCTACATCTGCTACCTCGCATGGGTGCACCACTGGTTCTACAAATATATATCATCGAGTTCCAATGGGCAAGATAAAGACAGACAGTTAAAAACAGTAAATAAAAGGTGAAGTGCACGAATATTTTAAATAAAATCAACAATTACTCTTCAAAAAATTATTTAAATGAAGCCAAAATCATTTTTAAAGCATCTTAATCAATTTATTTAAGAAAAGAAGTTCATCCTCTATCAAGAAATGAAGAAATGAAGAAATGGGTAAATGCTGGATTAGCTGAGGATATTTCACCTGATAAATCTGCAGTGTATTGACAGTTGAATCATAAAAGGTGAACATCCCATCAAGAACATCATGTTGCAAATTCACCTCTACCACATGTTCTGCTAATTCCTGTGATTAACAAATAGAAGATTTTTCGAATGATGTTAAATCGAAAAAAATTGTGGCTTTCTTGACAAAATACTAAAGGGTCAACATTAATCCCGTACAAAAACAGATGACTTTAATCTATTTTCCAAAAGAATTGATGGTCATTCAAGCGAAACCAAAAAACAGAAGATATTATGACCTTTTTCAATGCCAAGATGAATGCATTGTCCTTTGAGAGAAATGGTGCCACTCGAGGTGTTCTTGATAAAAGGTCAAGCCATGAACGCATGTAAGAAGGATTGACAGCCAAACTACTGTTGTCTGCGAATATATTGACGTCCCTTCCTTGCTGTCCATAAATATGTCTCTGTGTATGGCAGTAGACTTCATTAGCAACAAGCTAGAACATTGGAATGTAGGGCAATTTTGGTGGTCTTTTCAGATTTAAAAGAAAGAGCGATATACATATTACATGCCGAAAGGTATTTAATGTAATAAGCTCAAACGTCCACAAAGTAACAGTTTAATTTTTGACACAATAAAATGGTGTCTAATGAAGGCAAGCAAGTTCTCGTTCTATTTGTATCTGTCCCCAAATAAATGTCCACACTTCTATTTTTTGCCTGTCGCAAAAGAAGTGTACTTTCCTATTCTACCCTTTTATCATGAGATGGAGAAATTCACTGTTCCCCTTATTATTAAGGGTAAATTGTCATTTTCTTGCACATTTCTAAAACTGTGACTCTTTCATTGTGGACATCCTTTTTGGCACGGAGGGAGCATGAAGTAGCAAAATAAGGTACATGTAACTATGACACCATAAAATAATAAATAATATTAACTGACGAACACTGTATAACATAGTACCAGCTTAAGACTCTTACCGCTAAACTCTCGGCAACCAATTTTACACTCTGCACAACTGCAGCTTCGCTGACAAACTCTCTATTGCAATGGCAAACAGAATAAAAAACAGAACTTCAGAACATTGATTCCCCTTTTTATATAATTATCTAGAGGGTAACACTGCAAGGGCTTCTGATACCTGTTATCAGCTAGACCTCCGGCATTTTCAAGCAAGTTTGGTGCAACAGAAAGCCCAGAGAGTGTCGCTGCAGTAACTCGTAACCTTGAAAACTGTTCATGCTCCCAAGCTACCTGCATTTAGTAACCTTTAGCATAGAACCATATGCCTTCCTAAACTGTGAGGGAAATGTAATGTACTGTTTCTAAATGTAAAACATTATTAGTATAAAAACTTGTATTCTTTTAATAATAATATTGAAAAAAGCAATAATTAAGTGCATAATCATATATGAAAGCTACTCCTGATAACCAAAAGAGCACTTCTGTAAATTTTATCCAAGAAGAATGGAACATAGTAGTATTTTGTTTCACCAATTTATGCATCGCTTGAATGATGGTCAAAGTTCATTTATGAGATCTTAAGAGAGGTTACTTCATTCTTTGTATGAGTAACGTCATAACTTGTCCTATAGTGAAAGATAAACTGATCTTGGTATTCAAGGTACAACAAAAAACTACCATTGTTACAAAGAGAGAATGATAAAAACATACATCAAAAATTTATTAATTCTCAGAAGCAGACTAAAATCAGTCAGAAAACTGTATGCCATATTCACTTCTTTTGGGGTATGAAAATTCCACCCAAGAAACAAGCTTTCATCAAACCTCTCTTGTTAACTGTTGTATGTGGCTCATCTGAATTTTTCGGTAAGCTCAAAGCAACACTGGTAGACAAGCTCACAAATCCTTTTCTTTGTGTTAATAAAGAAAAGAAAAGGGATGAAGGGGAAAAAGGAGATCTTTCAAGATGTAAATTTCTTTCAACATTTTTGTAATTTACGATAATTCTTAATTGTGGCTGGAAAATTAGAAGGGCAAGAAAATGATATCACAAAAGGCAATACTGATTGCAGCACCATGTCTTTTTTTTAGTCCATTTTCAGTTGCTCATATACTTTTGAACTGGTTAAAAAATATGTTACCAGAAATGTGGTGGAGCATATATGTCACTTTCTGCCACTCATGGTAAGGAGGTTCATAGTTGTCCATACTGCATTTGCAGTCTTTTCTTACATCAGAAATTGAAGATCATCAGAAGTGATGAAAAGACGGTATTGTACCAACTGATATATTCGGAAATTTACTTTTGCGTTGTCTCAACAGTAATCAGCAGCAAACTATGAAGCATAAAGGTTAAATACAGGAATCCGATAGTAGAATGGCACCACAACACAACACTATAAAAAATGAAAGTGGGACCAGAGTGGGGACTTCAATTCACTTACTCGGGAATTGGAAACATTTATTTTTTTGTGCTTTAGCCCAACTTCAAGCCCCAATTCCTCTGCTACATCGGATAGACCCTACACACAAGACCAAATAGACAGGAATCTGTTTTTAAAAGAATTTATGCCACACTCCAAACCATATCCTGTTTCCTATGATGCTATCTACTTACTTCATAAATTTGCTTCACATATGCATTCTCTGGAGGTTTAGAAACATGAACCCATAACCTTTTTTCCCCTGAGCCAAGACTATTCAGGCAGATAGCATAATCAATACTTTCTCGCAACCGCTGATCAAAACTCCGGAGCCACTGCACAGACAAGACATATTGAGCAACAAACTTCAGAAAAGAAGGTTTACTTGAAGTCGACAGAGGAAGATAGGTACCTTCTGAGTTCCATTGTAGTTGTAAGGCCCACCAGATGTCAGGCCAAAGAGTATATTATACCTTCCCCTTGTGTTAGGATTGGAATATAAAATAGAAAATAATCTAGCAATTTCAAGAAGTGCCACAACACCACTGCCATTGCTATCACTTCCAACAGATAATGCCTACAATAGATAATGCAAGACAGAATCACATAAAGTTCATGTTATTATAGGAACTAAATAAAAGGGAAAAGTGAGTAAAATACCGGAGCTGCCCCAAATGTGTCATATGATGCCACAATGGCAATAGTTGGAAGTTGGTTTGAGTCTCCATCAGCTTTCAATCCAGGTAACCATCCCTGTAAATGGTTAAGTTTGTATCAAAATATGTCAGTTATACCCTGATACGAGAGACATTGAGAGAGAGAAAGATAGAGAATCAAACATACAAAAAACCTGTGGATATTTACACCCAAAAATACCTTTGTTATATACAGCACTCACACTTCATGCACTTGCATACACTTAAACAATCTAACAGAATGAAGATATAACTGCCATCCCACTCAGTTCCATAAATACAAGTCTAGAGAAAATAAATGTACAGAGAAAGGGGAAAACCTGGATGTTTGTGATTGTGGGAGATGCAAGTTTCTTAGGAGTTGGTGATGTGACAATAAGCTTGTATCTGCAACAATAGAAAAAAAAAGTTACAACCAATATCACAGCAATATCCAAAAACTCTCTTTCCATCTCAGACAGAACTTCCAACTTTAAGAGTGTGATAAGGAGCTACAAACAGCCAACAGAGACCAGACGATCGACATAACATACAATTCCAATAACATGTTCAGGAAAGTGTATGCATATACAAAACTATCTTCTAGGTGGGACCTGATACAAGAAAATATTCCTCAAGGGGTAGGGACAATTTAAATTCCACTTGAATTGAGGTTTTGATTCAGAGTTATACAAATTAAGAAAGTTGGTAATGGACTAAATTGCATCACAAACATGTCTGTCCATTCTCCATCGAGTTATATAACTGTTGACCACGATGGTATAGAATATGTTGGGGACGGAGGGGTGCTTTACCCTGCTGTGGAGCAGTAATATTTGCTCGCTTAGCCAGATGTGACCTGGATGATATCGATCCAATTGTGCAACTATGTTTACCTGGGATAATTTGACCACTCTGTGTGACACATTGCACATGTGCATAAATCCAGGGACCGCTTTAGGATTTTCCCAGCCGGGGGATGGCTTGATCTTAAAAAAACAAATTCAAACGTATAATAACCAGGTCTAATTTTTTCTATAACAAGAGTCCAGAGTTGAATTGCCGCATGATGGATCAGAGTCTTTTGACTTCGTATGCAACAAGAAAAATAAGTAACCAAATTAATCTAACTTTATTTAGAGAAGCTTCATGGATCTTAAGTCAAAGGGCATGAAACACAAAAGGTCGAATCATAAAAGACAAACACTGCACGTCACATAAACATCTGAAGACTTTTAGAAGTGAGGAATGCAAGTATATGAGTTATTGTTGAATAGTCCCTGCTCAAGCAGTTCTGACAATGTGTGTTTTGTGTGTAAGAATCACGATGGAGTCGTCTATGTCATCCGCTTGCTGCACAAGTACCATAGCACAAACTGCTGCTCTCTCATTGCCATTGATAATTTTGAGGACAGTTTCGTAAATAAAAACTTAGTTTAGAAAGCATCTACTTTTAATGTTATACTTATATGTTTAGGAAGATGGCACTTCAACAACAGAAAAAGGAAAAGCAGTGACTTGTTACAGAAGGGTAGTTAGTAGTTACTGAATATCAAAGTTGAAAATAACATATGTTACAATTGAAATGATAAGAGGTAAAATGTTGCATTCAAGGTCAACATTTTCAACTTATCCTTTAACTTTAAGTAACAATAACAAAAAAGTGAAAGAAATTTCCTAACAAGGGGAGGTGGTCAATTCGAAGGAAAAAATTACTTGCAAGGAATGACAATTCTACATGAGGGAAGGATGGAGAACTCCTACTGGGCTTATTAGGGATGGAAACAGGTCAGGAATCTTTTTTTTTTTGGGGGGGGGGGGGGGGGGGGGGTTCACAAAGTGAACCTGCAAAAAAAAAACCAACTTGTAGCTATGATATTCAACTCAAGAAATCACATTAACTCATTGAAATCACCACATGTCCACAAAAGTTAACTGAAGAAATACATGTTAGATTCCAAACAATACACCAGTCCTCAAAACTATCACGCATAACAACACTGTTGTATACCAGTGCATTGTCATTTGGTTTCTCAGTTGTCGACATGCTTCTTTTTACACACTTCAAACTAACTTATAAGAAAATGATTGCTAATTAGAAAAAATAAATTCAGACTATAACATTATTAGCTATGTGAACTGAAAAAGGGTGGGAAAAGATCAACTAGAATGCAAAAGCAATTCAGAGGACATATTGATGCCTATGCATAAATGTCGTTCCAAAAGAGGTCAGACTCCAAGAGCTGGTCTTAAAAGAGAGAGGGGGTGTGTGTGTAAAGGCAACCATGTGCCATGACTTAAATTCAATGTATTGAAAAACTTCTAGTGGTTGCAGTGTAATGTGAATATGTGATTTAACTTATTCAATGATACCAGGGAGCAATTGTATGCTTAAAAAGTATATACTAACCCGCCAGTAGTTGCAGTTGCAGGCTGACCAGCTGCATCATTTCTCTTGATGTCTGCTAACACTGTATCTAAATCTTCATCTTCAAAAGCAAAATACACAGGATACTGTAAAATGAAAAATGAAATAAGAAACAAGATTAAAAAAGGTGAAACACGGAAAAATATTATTAAGCACCTTCCTCTTATTTGTGAAAAGCCAAAACTATTATTAAACCTTTTAAGCATCATAGTCAACATCATTTTCTTGGAAAATTATTGGACTCTGTTTCGAACTTCAAATACATATCTTCTGATACATGAACTTCATGTGGTATCAACTGCTTGAAACATATGACAAAAGAGATCACAGAAAAGAGCAACGATGGAACCTCAGTAAAAAAATGAAGGGAAACGGACGATTGGCAATGAACTACATGACAAAAGGGATGGAGGGAGTGAAGGAATGACACAGACATGTTAACAAGGAAGGAATTTGCTCAAGGATAACAACAGATTGAAAACATGTGAGAAAAACATACATTTGCATATCACTGAATTGTCATTATGCAGATACATTTTTCACTCACATTGATATTGACATGTATTAGCTTCCGCTCTAAATCCACTAAAAGTTTCTTCATATTCTCCTTATCAGAACTATCACCATATCCACCAACAGTCTCACTGTTCTCAGAACGAAATATTCGTGGAAGTAGAAGTAGCAAGCCCCCTAAAGGCTTTCCCTGTTCAATATATTCTGCCATATGGTCAAGAATAGATAAAAAAAACTGAATCAGATTATTATAGAAATAAGAACAAACTTTCTATTCCAAAAGAGTTGGGTAAGGCTCAAATGAATACAAAAAAAGGATAAATAAAATTATGAAGAAATAAAGTTGATACTTAAAACCAAATAGGATGCAAATGGAAGAGTTATGCACCCACTCAAGGACTTACATGAATCTTCCAGTATAATCATGTAATCAACAATAAAAACTTAATGTACTTCCTATACCCATGTAGCATAAAGACATCAACATGGCCTGAGCTTCAAGTGTCAAACATGTGACACAGCTCCCATACATGATAGGTTTATGGCATTATGCAGAAGTGCCACATATATTCATTTTCTATTTGTTGCTCGAGCCCCATCACATTGCATTCACTTGCCAACACTTTTCCAACACTTTAAAGGACAAATGTTTTAAACAATAGTCAAGTATGGCTTAGATGCTAATGCTAGTAGTAGATCTTTTAAGTTAACATATATCTATACTATATTATAAAGCATTTGACAAAAACTCTTAAAAACCACTTTTTATGCGTAAGGTACTGTTTATTAATGCATATTACTTAAAACTCAAGATTGCAAGTATATCGTGCGTAAGTACAACTTATTAAAGCTTCATATCTGAATTCGTGTAACTAACTGCAAATAAACATAATCAAATACAGGATAAACATCTCATTTTAAATATAAAAAATATATAATCTATACTATATTATAAAGCATTTGACAAAAACTCTTAAAAACCACTTTTTATGCGTAAAGTACTGTTTATTAATGCATATTACTTAAAACTTAAGATTGCAAGTAGATTGTGCGTAAGTACAACTTATTAAAGCTCCATATCTGAATTCGTGTAACTAACTGCAAATAAACATAATCAAATACAGGATAAACATCTTATTTTAAATATAAAAAATATAAAATATAAATAGGATAATCATTGAGTTCTAACAGATACTTAATTATTATCTTTATAAAATATTATTTTATTAAACCAAAAATAAATTATTTTGTTATTAAACTTAAATTAAATTATAATAAAAAATAAATTACATAAAAAATAGAATTTTTAAATAGTTGATTTGATATTAACATTGATTATTTTGTTTTTAAATTTTTATGATATCTTCAAATTTATATTTTATTCACAAATAAAATCATTATTGCTTTCTTAAAAACACATAAAATCGTACTATAACATCGACAGAGACGAATAATAAAATAGAACATTAAAATCGAGATGTGTCTCGCTGCATTGCGCGAGTACTCTTCTAGTCATCTATAATCCAAAGACCAAGTCATAGAGTATAAGGCCTTTCGAATAACTCCTTTGCTAGTGTTTAGTAGACGAGGTGGATCCCATGTAGATTATGTAAAAAACATAACCTTTTTTGTCAAAACATGCAACTTATTTAATTATTTATGAGATAAACTTTATGATACCAGGATGTGTAGTAGTAGGTGTGATTCAACCATGGCTATAAGTGCACATATAAAATATCCATCTATCCCAGCTATATTGGAATGTGATATCACTGGAAGTGTTCTATTATATCAACATATACGTGTATGCATCAGTGGAACAATTTTGACTGACTTTGATTTATCCCTGTTCAAATAGGCCCTTTAAGACAAACTGTTGTCTTCCCAAATTGGCTCAAGCATACACAAAGTGACATTGTGCATATGGTATAATGATATTGATCTATAATGAAGCTCAAGTAATGCTGGGTGTATGAAGAGACTCCCTTCTTTAGAAAGAAACCTGGAATGGAACACCCTTTGGAATAAGGAAGAATGAAGAGAAATAATGAGATACAATCAAATCTCAATCCTTACAGCCGAAGTTATCTCAATACAACTAGTTTTGTATCCACAAAATGCTAGGACTAACTGGTTAAGAAAAACTTGTCACGTTCCAAAATATACATTGATACAAACCAAGAAACAGAAACAAAAGCATGAATATTGATTAATGTAAAATTCATAGACTAGTGATTTCTCAAAGCGTCTTTTTAAAGCAGAACCATGTTCTTGTTCTAAATAATTGGCAAATGCGGCTTTGTTTAGATACTATTCAAATGAACTGATGATTTCAGATCTTTAATTTTAGTACTAACAAATTATCTCAGTAAATTCATCCCATTCCAAATAGGATTAAATAGAGAACTTCAGATTTTGAATTTCAATATTCATCTATTTATCTCAGCAACATATCCTATTTCTGTCGGTCTATATTACATACTTTTATTAACAAAAAATAGAAAACAAAATTCTGTTATTGATCGTATCTAAACTGAAATAAATAATTCAGTTTTTTATTATGTGGCAGGCACAAGTTGTCGTCTAGCGAAAAGAACAAATATTCACTCTTAAGTTTGAAACTGTGATCAATGGAGATGGGTATTCATGCAGATGTAGAAAGAGGTGTTCCAATTCTGCAAAAAGGCTTCTTCTTGAATACATATATATACATACACACACATACATACTACTATGTACAACAATAGCGTCATATAGTTGCTAAAGGAAAGTGACCTAGAATAAATCCTAATTTAGTATATAGAAATTAAAGTAAATCTAGATTGGCTCTCTTCACAATCAACATTAACACTAATCACCCTAAGCTTAATTGATACGTTATTAAGCCTTCTTATAGTGAATTAATTCAAACTGGCTAGTGTTATAATGAAGTATCAAACATTGTTAATAAGCCCGATCTGTTTCTTTGCTTATCAAGTATCTGATTAAGTTACAAAGGCCTCATCCTTTCTGATTCCCATCAAGTTTCTAAACCAAACGGCCCTTTGGAACAATCTGATTAGAACCCAGATCCAATTTGTCAAATAATTGCCAACCCTGAACCAATGAGCAAGGACCCGCACTCCCTGCCTGTCATCTCCCTCATACCCTCCACTCATGTAAACTTATACATCTTTTGATTGTTAATAATGGTGGAAATGATCGAAACGAAAAAAACCATGTCGTTTACGACAGGCTTTAGTTCAATAAATTTTAACTGATTGATCATGTTGCATTTCAACAATGTGCAAGCAATTTGATTCCCATCGTAAGGGCAGTTATCGGATTGGGATACGTTACAAATTGTTTGTTTGCTCCTTTCAAAAGGAAACTCCAACTCGCTATTTTGAGTTTTATTACCACAAATGATTTTAACTTTTTTTATATCTTCTTACCTGAAAGCATAACCTCTTCTCAGGAAAATATATATTCTTATGATGGGAACAAATATGGCAAAAATGTTGCATAATCTTCAGAATTTGGTCTCGAGGGAAGATATGCGAGATTGTTTTTATATAAAAGCCAGTTAGATTCATTGATACACATAGTCAGTGTTATAAAAATGATAATTCGTATGAACTGATTTGATTCAAGAAGCAAACAGTACAAAATTGTTAACTAATCGAGCATCATTCTATTGAAAAATCACCTTCGCATGTCCATGAATTTTTAAGCTTAAATAAGTAGGTATTTTGCTCTAGATTTCTCTTCACTTCATCTCTTCATTCTTCTCTTGTTGTGACTTGAGGCCTTTTCTTCATCTCTGTGTGTTCTTGGCAAGTTGTGTATTCACTCTCTCTTTTCTCTTTGGCCCTTAATATAGTTTGCTTCACTTATACCAAACAATGTCCACTAAGGAAGACAATCTTGATTAGCTAACCATTATTAAGTTCAAGCGATATTTTATTATTATGATAGTATAAAGAACAGTTATCGAATACATTTGCCAACTAGAGAGAACTTCACAAGGGTCCATATGTGACATGAAGTTGTCTTTTCCTGCCTCAGGAGCAGCATCCTGCTACTTGGACCACGTGATCACAGTATCCTAGTACTTAATGTAAAGATATGCCATCGTTATCATATAGGTGTGAATACAAAATTGTTATGCATTTATGATTTTTCTAAAAGTTCTGAAGCAAATCTTGAGATTTTGTACAATAAATTCTGGCTGGTCAAACTTTTTAGGGTTATTTAGGAGGACAGCGTTCTGACAAATTCATTTTAAAGGCACGGTCATCCGACAGATTTATAGGCGTTCTTGTGTCACGAAGAGGCATTCTTCTGTCGGGTATAGGCGTCTTAAATCTGTGAGAAAAGTCAAGTATTCTCCTATACAACCCTAATCTCTTTTTAGGGAAGTTTTTTTTTGTGTGAGTAACTTTTAGCAGTCCTATATGACCCGTCATAGCAACCAACCCCAGCAAACAAAATATTGTCATTCAAGCTCCAAGAAAACCCAAATCTAATTCTCAACCGTGTCAATTAACCAAAACCAATTTCTGATCCAAGAATATGGAAACTCCGCAGAAGCATTATTTGAACCAAGTGCGACAATCAGTATTCTCCTAGGATCAACCAAGTCCGCTCAATTCTATTACAGCAGATGCATCAACGACGAACACTAGCACCCATCAAAGTGGTCCCTACTCCCTAGATGTATATACTCAAAACCCCATTGATCAAGAACACTTAAGCAGATGCAAATTAGATAGTTACCTCGAATGAATGTTTCGTTCAATTCACGTAGGGGAAGGATGACAACAGTACGGGAGAGATCGGAACCAGGAGCAAAGAGAGAAGAACCGGCATGATGATTAAGGGATGCGACACGAGATCCAAAAGGAACACCGGAGATATCATACTGTATGAGACGATAAACGTCGACGACGGTAGATGCATCGCAAAGCTCCACACAGGCCACTAGTATGAATACAAGTGCAATGACCGAGTAGACTGATTCCAATACTTGTCGTCGCCCCTCTGCTGCATTCGCCATTGATAAAAACAAGGAGAGCGAGTGGGCGATGGATGTGCTTACTAGGGTTTAATATAAGTAGCAGTAGTGACGCCGAGGATGACGATTGCATATGACTCTCTTGGAGTTGAGTTCCCAGCCGACCTTTACACGTGAAAATTGTATTCAAACGACACAGGGACATGTCGTTTAGGGTGTTTTTGTGGGGTCCAAATCAAAAAAAATGTAAAAGTTCAATTTTAGTCCTCATGGTTTAGTGAAAAGTTTCAAAGTTAAATTTTAATTTAATAAGTTTAAAAAGCATCTTTATGATTTGTATTTTGTTATGAGAACAATGTCTTGTTGCTAATTTCGTTAATAATGTCTATTAGTATGAAGGATATTTTTGTCATTTTACCTATTCTTTTGTTATTTTTCTGTTTTATCCTTATTTATTAATTACTAGAAAGGTACTCGTGCAATGCATCGAGACGCATCTTGATTTCAGTGTTTCGTTTTATTCATTTTTATGTCGATATAACACTGTTTTATGTTATTTTGAGAAAACGATAATGTTTTTATTTTTAAATAAAATATAAATTTAAAAATATTATAAAAAAATTTAAAAAAAATATATCAATATCAAATTAATCTTTTTAAAAGTTCTTGTGTTTTGGTGTAATTTTCTTAATTCAAATTTTTTAATTATAATTTAATTTAGGTTTAATAATATAATTTCTATAAAGATAATAATTAAGTATTCGGTTAGAATTTAATGATTATCCTAATTATACTTTAGATTTTTTATATTTAAAATGAAATATTTATCTAGTATTTGATTATGTTTATCTGCAGTTAGTTACAAGAATTCAAAGATAGAGCTTTAATAAGTTGTACTTAAGCACAATCTACTTGTAATCTTGAATTTTAAGTAATATGCATCAATAAATAGTATTTCATGCATAAAAAAAGTAGTTTTTAAGAGTTTTTGTCAAATGCTTTATAATATAGTATAAATGTTTTCTTATTAAAAAATAATAAAATATTATATTATATATTCATATACATATAATATATACACACAGTTATTATCTTCGTCAACTCATATACCTGTAATACAAACACATAACAAAGCACATATTTGTGACACAAAAAACACTCATATAAAGTCATTGAAATAAATTGTGTGTTTGTGTCTTTTCGTCAGTTGTCCTTACACCATTTCTCTTATCATTGGCCCTCGCACAACCTCCACTCTTCACCACCCTACAATATGTTCCCCCCTTTACGTCCAGTGTTGAGGGTTGCAACAGTGTGTCTGTATATACACATGTGTTCTTGTGTGTAACGGTGTGCGTGGGTTGGTGTTTTTTTTTTTCCAACTATTCGTCATTGTGTGTTCGAGCTTCGAACCGGAGAACTTCATGGTTGCATGGTCAGAAAAGAGTGTTGGGAGAGGAAGTGTGGCCGGGAAAATCACTGAGATGGTAAGTTTCCGAAGATGGTTTTTTGTCGCCGGAGATAGTAAGTTTATGAAAAAGGGGTGGTCATATATGTATATTTATTATTTTACTCAAAAATGTGTATAATATACAGTATAAATAATATAATACTTCTTTATTTTTAATTTTTTTTTTGAATAATGGATAAAATGACAAAAATACACTTGAATTAACGAACATTTTTAACAATACTACTGGCCAAATATCATTTTCAGAACAAAAGTAAATTTATAAGGATTTATGGAGTTATCGAAGATTAGATCCACTTTCAGATTTTTCATTAAACCATGAAGACAAGGGCTGTAAATGAACCGAACGAACACGAACGGAGGCTTGTTCATGTTCGTTCGTTTAACTTAACCGAACAAACGAACGAACACGAACGGTAAACGAACAAAAATCTTTGTGTTCGTGTTCGTTCGTTTAAAAGTTAGGTGTGTTCGTTTTCGTTTATATTCGTTCGTTAACATGCTAAACGAACGGGCTTAATGAACATAAACGAATGGGCTAAACGAACATAAATAAATACTATTTTAATTCAAAGTAAATAAACAAAGAATTATATATTAAATTTAGTATACAACCGAACATATATAAACGAACGTAAACGAATGGTAAATAAACGAACGTTCACGAACATAAATGAACGAACGAGACTTTTGTTCATGTTCATTCACTTAACTAAACGAACAAATTTTTTTGTTCATGTCCGTTCATTTATTAAATAAAGGAACTTTCCGCCGAACGGTTCTTGAACGTTCGATTTGTTTACACCCCTAATGAAGACTAAAATTTAGTCATCACTGACTTTCATTATTTCAGTACAATTAGGGATGTTTGGGTTTGTGTTATGATGATAAATTATAACTGAATCTAATATAATTAAACTAAAATTTGAAACACATGAAAGAGGGAAAAAACATAAAGGGTAAAAAAATGTGAGGATAACCAAATGAAATGTAACAGAAACAGTATTAAATTATAAATCATGTATGAACTGTAAGAGCATGCAATAATATACTAGATAACTAGATTAATTAATACATACTAGTATGGGAACCGTGTGTTGCACGGTAGCATGAGTACTTTGATTAATAATCTGAAGATTGTCTAAATAAATATGTATTAGTTGTTAATAGAATTATCAACAAATAGTATTTAAATAATTCTAAAAAGTTAAATAAAATATAA